TTTCAGTTTCCATGAGTTCTTAAGCTTTCTTTTGTTTTTATTGTTTATGATACACATCTTTAATCCATGGTGATCTGATAAGATACAGAGGTTTGCTTTTTCTTCTTTCCCTTTTCCTTCCTTCCTTCCTTCCTTCCTTTCCCCAATTCAACCACAGTGGTCTCCAACTTCATTCCATTGGTTGGGTGTAAGTATCTGCGTCTGTCTCAGCCATCTCCTTGTTGGGCCTCTCAGAGGACAGCCATGCTAGGCTCCTGTCTGTAGCACCATTGCATCAGTAATAGTATCTGGCCTTGGAGCCTCCCCTTGAGATGGATCCCAAATTGGGCCTGTCACTGGACTTCCTTTCCCTCAGTCTCTTCTCCATTTTTTTTTTTTTTGAGACATGGTTTCTCTGTGTAGCTATGGCTGTCCTGGAACGCACTCTGTAAGACCAGGCTGGCCTCGAACTCAGAAACCCGCCTGCCTCTGCCTCCCAAGTGCTGGGATTAAAGGCGTGCGCCACCACCGCCCGGCTCTTCTCCATTTTTTATCCCTGCAGTTCTTTTAGACAGGAACAATTCTGGGTCAGATTTTTGACTGTGGGATGGCAACCCCATCCCTCCACTTGATGCCCTGTCTTTCTACTAGAGGTGGGCTCTACAAGTTCCCTCTCCCCACTGTTGGGCGTTTCTTCTAAGGTCCCTCCCTTTGAGTCCTGAGAGTCTCTCACCTACCAGGTCTCTGGTATATTCTAGGGGCCTTCTTTCCTATTCCCCCTCCCAATACCTGATCATGTTCCCCCTTTTCCCTCCCTCTCCCTTCTCTCACCCAGATCCCTCCCTCCCTCTGCTTTCCATGATTGTTTTCTTCTCCCTCCCAAGTGGGATTGAATTATCCTCACTTGGGCCCTTTGGCTTGTTAACTGTCTTGAATTCTGTGGAATGTATGCTGGGTATTCTGTACTTTTTTGGCTAATATCCACCTATTTGTGAGTACACACCATGCATGTCCTTTTGGGTCTCAGTTACTTCACTCAGGATGATATTTTCTAGTTCCATCCATTTGCCTGCAAAACTCAGGATGTCTTCATTCTTAATAGCCAAATAATATTCCATTGTATAAACGAACCACATTTTCCATATCCATTCTTCTGTTGTGGTACATCTGGGTTGTTTCCAGCTGCTGGCTACCACCGATAAGGCTACTATACTAGCATGTGCCCCCATGGTATGGTGGGGCATCTTTTGGGTATATGCCTGAGTGGTATAGCTGGTTCTTCAGGTAGATCTATTTCCAATTTTCAGAGGAACCTCCAGATTGATTTCCAGAGTGATTGTACCAGTGTGCAATCCCACCAGCAGTGGAGGAGTGCTCCGATGTCAACCATTTGTATGCTCTGAGCAAGTCTCTCCAGTTGGAGTAGTCCTCCACTTCCTGTGCATTTCCTGTTATTGTCAATAGAGAGAACCAGAGTGCACAGTGTGAGAGCTGGCCCTTGATATTCTTGTATTTTGAGTTTTATATAATCTTACTGTTGTTGTTTAAAGGACTGGGTCATAGTTATAGGTCTGCCTTTGTGTCTCCTTTTGTCATTGATGCCGTCTATGTTGTGTAACTTTTATTCATTAGAGTCGAATTATATTGTTTCTCTAGAAAATGATAGACATTCACCTATGTTTTCTGAAAATATACAATATTATATTATGAGTTTCTTGAGTTTTTGTTGCTTTGGGGACTTTCTGTGGAGAAAGATTTTTGATTTCCTTTGCTTAATTCTAAATGCTCACCTCTCATTTCTTCATGAATCTGTGTTTTCCAGTCATTGTAATCATCAATGTTTGGGGTTTTGCTACTTAAGTGATTGACATGGTTAAGATATTGGATTTGGGTTTTAAAAACTTTTCTCATATATTACTGTCTCTGTGTCCCAATTAGCTTCAGTTCTAACATCCCACGGCCTACATCTATCTGAGGGAGCCTGAATTGAGGCCGTGTCCCCGTTAGAATGGCTGCTGGCTGTGCCTGTGAGATTTTGTGTTGATCGATGATTGATGTGGTAAGGTTTTCCCAGTGAGAGTGACCATATCCCTAAGCAAGTGGACCTGAGCTGGATAAGGTATTTAACTGGATAAGGTATTTACATGAGACAGTAACCAGGGAAGACAGCAAGCCTGGAACCAACGTTTGCCTGTGGTTTTGCCTTCATTTTCAGTGTCGATTCAGTGTTGTTCCACGCTTGTGTGACTTACAGAGTCAGAGCCCCAGTGAGGGAGAACACTGAGAGAGTTCATTGTCTGAAGCTGTGAGGATGAAGCCCCTTTTACAATTTAAGAGCAGAAGCTGTTGAGATACCTAAGTTAGACACCTGGCATGGGAGAGCTACCTATTGGGAATGGAAACAACCACATGGCGAGATGGATGAGAAATTCCAGAGATATGGCTATCTAAGCCCTTAGAAACTGAAGTCCTGTGTGTCTGAAACAGAGCTATAGGATTTGTTGTTTCCCCTTCTGGGTTTCTTGCCTTGACCCAATCTTCCCTCACTATGTATGTATTTCTCTTCATTAGAATATGAAGGGCTAGTCTCTGTCAGTGTATGTTGGAAAGATGTAACTTGTCTTTTGGTTTTACAAGATGTGACAAGAGATTGTCCTGAGCGCCAGAAGAGACTTTAGACATTTGAACAGTGTTAGGGGCCGTTGCAGACTTTGAGGATCATTGAACTTAGAATAAATGCCTTTTCATCATGGAATGACCATGAACATATAGTGACCAGGGTCAGATTGTAGTTGGTTAAATCAATAACCTCCCAGATAGGATTAGGCCTCTGAGCACTTGTCTCTCTATGGTGCCTTTCTTTGGGGGCGTTTATGGAGACTTTTGTAGGAGAAACATTTCTAGATGAAATTCCTTATTGGGTTGGAATTTGTCTATAGTCTTAATCCATTTCTTCTTCTTTGTGTCTACTGTGTTTCATCTGAAACTGATCCGTCAGCTCCTTCCACGCTGTCACAAATTCACCATAAAAGACTCTATTCCCAAATCACATAAGATACAGTAGAAGCAAGTGCTGTTCAATACTAAGCTGTTTTTCTAGTCTGATGTTGGTTTTTTTTTTATTTTAATTATTTTAAATTTTGTGTTTGTTTTTGAAGACAAAGTTTCTCTGTGTAGTCCCGATGTCCTGAAAGTAGGTGTAATCCAGATAGGCCTCAAATCTGGAGATCCATCTGCCTCTGCTTCCAGAGTACAGGGAATAGATGTGGGCCACCATGCCTGGCTTTTTGGTTTTATATTATTGGCTGATGACCCTGGATAGTAGATTTTTGTACATGTCAAACACATGCTATTGTCCTGAGATTTACCCACATCTTATATTTTGATGTTGCATGCAGTTTTTTTTTTTTAAATATTTATTTATTTATTTTATTGATGAGTACACTGTAGCTGTCTTCAGACACACCAGAAGAGGGCATCCAATCTCATTACAGATGGTTGTGAGCCACCATGTGGTTGCTGGGATTTGAACTCAGGACCTCTGGAAGAGCAGTCAGTGCTCTTAACCGCTGAGCCATCTCTCCAGCCCCTGCATGCAGTTTTAAAAATCACACTTCATCCTTTGTCCAGGGCTGCGCTTCCCGGCTTAAGTCTGAGATCACAGTCCGGCCAACCCTCCACTGCTACCTCTTTCTCCCGGCTAGCTTTGCCAATCCACCATCAACCACCCTGTCTTCTTTCTCCCGCCCACCTTAGCTCCATGAAAGAAAAACACTGGGCAGCATTGGTAATTTAGAACTTGCTGCCGGGGGGTGGTGGCGCATGCCTTTAATCCCAGCACTTGGGAGGCAGAGGCAGATGAATTTCTGAGTTCGAGGCCAGCCTGGTCTACAGAGTGAGTTCCAGGACAGCCAGGGCTACACAGAGAAACCCTGTCTCGAAAAACAAAAACAAACAAACAAACAAAAAAGAACTTGCCACATAACACAGATGCTGAGTGAAGAATCTCCTGCTCTAACCTTATCAGCTAGCCTAGCTCAGCCATCCACCAGTGGCGGAGACCTCCATTTCCAGCTACCCAAGGTCTTACATGGTTGTTGCCTCCTGTTCCAAACCCTGGCTGAAAGGACCTCCTACTTCCCTGTGTCCCTTCTCTTCATCCTGGGACATGGAAATCCCACATTTCCTTTCGCCCAGCAATTGGCTTCCACCTTCTTTATTGACCAAATCAAGAGCCAATTAGGGAACCAGATTTTAGTATCAGCACCTTCCCCTACATTTTGAAATTTGGCAGAGTATATTCTATTTCTCAGGATGGCATGCATTCATTACATTAATGCTGCCTGAGCCTTCTGAGTCATGGAATTTCGGGTGCTTGACATTCTTCCTACCTGTTCTGTTTGTTTTGAAGATTGTACTTGGAGTGATGGATAGATAGTTGTGAGCCCCCATGGAAGCAGTTGCAATTGAGCCCACTTATTTCCAAGACCAGCAAGACCTCTTAACTGATGAACCATCTTTCCTGCCTTAAGCTGCTTATTTATGATCTACTTTTACTTTGGTGATATTTTCATCTGTCCGGTTGTGACTGTTTAAACATGCACTCTCTTTTGTAAATATGTTATTAATGTTACAGTCGCCCTGGTTTGCATCCAACTCAATGAGATATACCTGTCTCTGCCTCCTGAGTGTGGGAACTAAAGACACGAGCTAGTACACCTAGCTTACTCATCATTATTCCTAGTTAGTAACTGTTCACACAATTTCATTCTCTCATTCTCCCCCCCAACCCCCCACTAATTGACATTTCTGTCAATTACTCAAAGGTTGCAGAAATGACAGAGGTGAAACTTACTATTTAATTTCCTTCTGACATCACTTGGTGATGACATGATAACTTCTGTCCTAGGAAATAAATGAGGGAAGCACCAGAATCATATGAATATATTATCCGGGATGTATACATTTACAGTGTTATTAGTATCATGCTTTCTCTTGTACACATGGATGGGCTATTTTAGGATGCAGTGAGCTATGAGGATGTGCATGTGAACTTCACTCAGGAAGAATGGGTTTTGCTGGATCCTTCACAGAAGAGTCTCTACAAAGATGTGATGCTGGAGACCTACAGGAACCTCAGTGCCATAGGTAAGACGGTGAATTTTCTTTCACTTTTTAAAATAAAGGGAAAACTCTTTTAATTGATGCTCCTCTGTAATTTCAATTGTAACTGAGGAAGAATGAGATGAATAAATCAGGCATAGTTCACTGAAGCAGGAACTTAAATTTTGCCATATTTCCAATAACATATCCTACATTTTCTGGTACTATATTTTAGGCTACAATTGGGAAGACCATAATACTGAAGAACATTGTCAAAGTTCTAGAAGATGTGGAAGGTAATTTTCATGTTCAAGCTGATATGGCTATGCCTCTGAAGACTGTAATGTGTCCTGGAAGTTTTAAAGAACAGCAACAGTGTCAAAAAACACTTCTTTTAAGTGTATGGATGATTATTAAATTCTCATCAAGCCATGCACCTCAATATCAGATATCTGATTTGTGTTTGCCAGACATTTCTCAAAGAAGGAAGACACAGAAACAGCGCCTTAACAGATATCACTGTTTGAATCATAGCACCATAAGAACTGTGATGTAGCAGTGCCAATCTGTTTAGCCTCATACCACTTAGATATTTCAGAAGGTATACACATTGAAAAGGTGATACATATTTTATACACACACACATATGATATGCACATAGTCCATAGTAAAGCTGGTGTTACTCATATACTTGTAGTAATGTTACTAAATTTAGTGAGAAGGGCAGTTTATGAGAGTCAAGAAGGTTGTTGTGGAGTTACCTCAATCCCTATACCTCGTATCAAGAGAAACAAAAAGTCAGCCTGTGTGAATGTAATGTGGAAACCTTTCATTTGTAATTCTTCTTTTTACAGTTATATCATATGTGACAATGTATACAAGTCCTGTGAGAATAGTGATATTGGAAAAGCAATGTCCCTTTCTCTCTACCAGAACAATTAGGAGATATGTCATAGATCCCACAATGAGCGGACTGTCTGAATGTGATAGACAAAGCTACACTTAATCGGTTTTCTAACTTTATTGAGAATACATCCACAGACTGACAACACAGAAACTCCCTATCAATACTAGCAACGTGGAAATCCTTCTGTGTGCCCTGGTTCACTTTACAAATGTAGCATGACTCACACTATGGGAAAAAGTTTTAAATGCAATCAGTGTGGAAAAAGCTCTGAGTTCTTCCATCTCTCTTCAGTTATATGAAAAACTTCATGTAGGAAAAGGATGCTATAAATTGAAGCAATGTAATAAATGTTCTTACAGTCACTGGTGTCTCCAAAGACTCCAGAGATCCTAAGTGATTCCTCCTTACACTAGACCACATTGTACAGAATAAGTCATAGAGATAAAAAAGGTTAATCATGTAATGAACGTGGTAAAGCTTTCTCATGTGCCAATTATCTTTGCAGGCATGAAAGACGTCACACTGGAGAGGAACCTTATGAATACACTAAAGGTGGTAAAGCCTTTGCATATTACAGTCATCCTCAATGGCATGAAAGAATTCATACTGGAGAGACACCCTATGAAGTTATTCGATATTGTGAAGACTTTGCCTATCACAGTAGTCTTCAGATGTATAAAAGAATAGATATTGGAGAGAAACCTTATGAATGTAATCAGTGTGGGAAAGCATTTACATATCATAGTCAACTTCGAAGACATAAAAGAACACATACCGGCGAGAAACCCTACAAATGTAATCAATGTGGTAAAGCCTTTTCACAAAATGGTCATCTCGTAATACATAAAAGAACACATACTGGTGAGAAACCTTATGATTGCAATCAATGTGGTAAAGCATTTACAGATCAAAGTCAACTTCGAATACATAAACGAGCACACACTGGAGAGAAACCCTACAAATGTAATCAGTGTGATAAAGCCTTTTTACAAAACATTAATCTCAGAATACATAAACGAGCACACACTGGAGAGAAACCCTACAAATGTAATCAATGTGATAAAGCCTTTGCGCAAAATGGTCATCTCATAATACATCAAAGAACACATACTGGAGAGAAACCCTATGAATGTAATCAGTGTGGTAAAGCGTTTGCAGATCAAAGTCAACTTCGAATACATAGAAGAATACATACTGGAGAGAAACCCTACAAATGTAATCAGTGTGATAAAGCCTTTGCACAACACAGTAATCTCCGAATACATAAAAGGACACACACTGGAGAGAAACCCTATGAATGTAATCAATGTGATAAAGCCTTTTTACAAAACATTAATCTCAAAATACATAAAAGAGCTCATACTGGTGAGAAAAGTTATGAATGTAGTCAATGTGGTAAAGCCTTTGCACGTTACTATCATCTTCAATGTCATGAACGAATTCATACTGAAGAGAAACCTTACAAATGTAATCAGTGTGACAAAGTCTTTTCACAATCACATAGTCTCCGAATACACGAAAGGACACATACTGGAGAGAAACCCTATGTGTGTAATCAGTGTGGTAAAGCCTTTGCAGATAATAGTCACCTTCGAAGACATAAAAGGACGCATACTGGAGAGAAACCCTATGAATGTAATCAATGCGGTTCAGCCTTTTCACAAAACAGCTATCTCAGAATACATAAAAGAACACATACTGGAGAGAAACACTTTGAATAAACAAGCAATATGATAAAAACTTTGCATATAGCAGTACTCTTAGAAATCATGAGAAAAGTCAGCCTACAGAGAAACCCCACTAATGTAGTGAGTGTGGTAAAGTTTTGTACTTCCTTGTGTTTTTATATAAGAGGAAAACCTTCAGTTCACAGTCAGTCTGTTAAAGGCTGCGTATCCCAGCAGTCTTTGAGGTTCTGAAAGAACTACTGAAGGGAGTCTGTGACTATAAGGGATTTGGTACGATGTTTAGCCAACACACATTCAGTTACACAACATTTATCCTAGAGAAAAAAATGAAACACGTGTCAACAGTCTCTTCAGGCATTATGTTGTCACTGTTTTGGTTGTACTTTTTTTCTTTTCCATTCGCTTTTGTATGTTAAACCATCTCTGTATCTCTGGGATGAAGCCTACTTGGACATCATACAAGATCCCTTTGGTCTTTTGCTTGATTGAATTTGCAAGTATTTTATTTTTACATCTGTTCTCACATGAGAAATTGGTCTATAATACTCTTTTCATTGAGTCTTTTTGTGTTTTGGGTATCAGGGTAACTGTGGCTTCATAAAATGAATTGGGCAATGTTCCCTTTTTCTATTTTTTAAAATTCTGTAAAGAATATTTACCTCCTGAAGAGGCAAATCTAGATGCTGAGATTTTGGTGAATTTATTGTTAACATCTGCTCCCGTGTGTACTAAACCTTCAATCTCAGTTCCATTTATTTGTACTTTCAGCTTTTGTCTTTCATCATTTCTAGCAGTTGGCTAAAAATACTCGTTTTTGCTCTCTCCTGAATTTGTTCTTTTATCTACAGAAGCTGTTCTGTCCTTGATCACATGCAGACTGCATTGTTTTTTTTTAACAACAGGCATTAAATCTTTTAATTGCTATATGGGCAAGTTTCTTTGAAACTAATAGGATATAATTGAACTGAATTTGACTGTGGGCCCTGTGGTAGGCCCCATAGGGTGTTTCTGAAGGCAAAGCGTTTCCTTGTCTATCCCTTGTTGATCTGCATTCATTAGCCCAGTGCTGGCCTTTGCCACACCTTCTGCATACTCCAGAAGGCTGGGGCCTTCCTTTTGAATTATCTCTGGAAAAAAACACCTACAATCCCTTGTCAAATGTCCAGGCTTACCACAATGAGAACATCTGGCATTTTGATATTTCCTAAACTTTGAGAAATTACTTCTCCTATCAGAGTAACATCATCAATTTGAGACACAATGTTGCCCGTATTCCTCTGTTGGTGCTAATCTTGCCTGTAAAGGTCTAATCAGTGTTTTGCATTCTGAATTAGCATGTTCAAAAGCCAAAATCTACAATTAGCATTTTTCTGACTCCTAAATCTGATACCATTTTATTTGTAGCTAAGTTAAGTTTTGCAAATCATCAGAGAAGGCTTCTCTTGGGCCGTGTATAATTTTAGTAAACAACTCAGACCTCTTTCCTGAACCTTGAACTTCATCCCAAGCATTTAAAGCTGCCAAATAACATAGTGCCATGATGCGATTATCAAGTTCAAGCTGGCTGTGTAACTCAGCCCAGTGACCTTCACCTCACAACTCATCTTGGGAAATATCAATCCCCCTAGCCTGATGGCATTGTGCTATAGCTCTCACTTCCTCTCTCTCTCTCTCTCTCTCTCTCTCTCTCTCTCTTTAACTTTTTTTTTTACATTTAAAAAAATTTATTATGAGTGCATAGCAGAAGAGGGGATCAGATCCCATTCCAGATGGTTGTGAGCCACCATGTGGTTGCTGGGAATTGAACTCAGGACCTCTTGAAGAGCATCCAGTTCTCTTAACCACTGAGACATCTCTCCAGCCCCCCCATCCCCCCAGCTTCCTCTTTTCACGGTGTTTGCTGTGGTTGTCTGTTGTATTTGAAAATGTACAGAGGACTAGAAACAGTTACATTGTAGGGCATTATTACATCAGAGGGTATTATAACCCCAGAGCAAGATGGAAGAGAGGAAGATGGAGAAGGACAGTAGAATAGAACTTAGAAATTAAAAGAGAACATAGAAATTAAGAGTAATGCACAGAATGCAAAGGGAAGGGAAAAAGAAGATTCTACAGAGAAAGCAGAAAGCAGGCAGGCTTCTCATTGTGGGTGGGAACAGGTTTTTTCTTTTTTTCTTTTTCTTTTTTTTGGTTTTTCGAGACAGGGTTTCTCTGTGTAGTCCTGGCTGTCCTGGAACTCACTCGTAGACCAGGCTGGTCTCGAACTCAGAAATCCACCTGCCTCTGCCTCCCAAGTGCTGGGATTCAAGGCGTGCCCCACCACTGCCCGGCAACAGGTTTTTTCTTAACAGCAAGGCAGATTGAGTCTTATTAAAGAAAGCTTACCCAGCTTTCTTTCTTACAGACTTGGGCTTAATTCATTTAGCAATAAAAGGGTAGAAGCTTTCCCCCCCCCCTTTATGCAATAAAGATTGGAGCTCATTTTTCATCCAGAATGAGTGAGTTCTTTCTGCACTGGTGCTTGGTCTTTTCCTTCGTATGCATATGTAAGTATGGATGTGTGTGTGTAAGTAATGTAATTATGAAATAAGTATGTAGTTGGGTCCAACAGGTTTGCATGGAGGTGTATGAGTGTGTACGTATAGATTTGTATATGAAATTATGTGAGTTTATGCATATTTGCTTGTATAAAAGTTTTTCCCCCTGCGAGCTTGACTCTTGTTTTTCTGGTTCAATAAAAGTTTATTGCTCCAAACCTCCCTCCAGCCTGCCAAGTAAGAGGACAGGCTTCTGGTCAAGAGAGAAAAACCCCTAGGAATTAATCCTGTACTTAATCCCCTGCTGTTAGCTACAGGTGTTAATTCCCCAAGCCAGCAGTTTTTAACTTTTGAAATGAACAAGAGAGTCTTTGGGATGTTTTAGAAGTTATCAGCAAGCATCCAGTATGGTTAGAGAGCTGGAAGGCGAGAGACCATCAGTCTTTAAAGCTACCTCTAAGAACATCAGTCTTTCAAGCTACAGTGAGACCATCCGTCTTTAAAGCTACTTGTATGTAACTTTGTGTCCAGCTCCAACCCATTCCAGGGCCGGCAGAATCCCCAGCACAGGAATGGCAGGTTTTGCCTGTGGTAGTTGTCAAAGTTTGAGAGCACAGATGGAGAGGTTACAAACTGGGTTAATTTTGCTGCTATCGAAGATGTATGGATCTGCTGTCTTTACGTCTAAATATTTTATTGTCTGGCACCTTTAACCCATTTACCTCTGTTTCTCTTTCAATGACTTTACTACACATAGCTGCATATATTACCAATGCATTCACTATACACATTTGATTCTGGGGTCTGCTGACAGACAGTTGTTTCTCAAACACACCATGTTGGCCACTAGGCCACTCTTGACAGTTCTAGTTACTGATGCTCTTTCATGTTTGATATGTAGGCAATTAGTATTTGGGTCCCACAAATTCTAGTCTCAAATTTCTGGTCTGTTTTTCTGCAATTTTCAGAGACAGTTTTTCCTGGATGGTGATAAAGAATATTTATTTGTGGAGAGCCATGGTGAACAGTGACAGTATTCGCTGTTATAAGATGACGCTGGCATCCGGTGCTCTCCCAAGTTTATAGATAAACTGTACATTGTGCAAATGGAGAATGCGCGCCAAATCACGGCCCATCCCGGGGCATAATATGCACTCCTGAGCAAGCAGCCAACCAGAAATGTACACGCCGCTCCAGGGTATATATAAACAGTGCCTTTTCGGGGCCCGGGGTCTTCCTCTTCACATCGCAATAAAGATTTGCTGCAGAAGGATCCTGGTGTCTGCGTGCGTTCTTGCTGGCGAGACAATCGCGGGTCACAGCTGGTGCCGAAACCCGGGACACTCACCATCGCCAGTGCCGAGGAGACCCTCCGTTTGCGGGGAGGATTCAAAACTGCAGGACGAAGGTAAGCTCTGAGAAGTATGTTTGGTCTTGATTTACCTCATCTCTCTCCCCAACTCCACTGATTCTCTTGTTAAATCCTGCCGCCGCCTGAGCCGGTACCGCCACTTCAGGCCGCCATTAGGGACGGTTAGTTGGACGTAGATAAGCCGAGGTGCCCCTCCCCGTGTGTCAGATTCTCTCATAGATAAGAGAGCAGCATGGGAGCTTCACATTCTGTGATTACGGCGCTTTAGTCGCTCTTGCGACAGCATAAATTAAAAGTCTCTACAAAAATGTTAGAGGGGTTTGTGAAGGAGATTGATCGCATGGCGCCCTGGTATATATGCTCGGGGTTGCTAACGCTCGCCTCCTGGGACAAATTGGAGGGTGATTTAATTAGGGAACAACAGAATGGAAAATTGAAACCTGGGACTCGGCCACTGTGGAGGCTAGTAAGATCGTGCTTACAAGATGAGAAGTGCCGCCCGACTATCGTGGCAGGTCAGGGAGTGCTAGACGAGTTACAAGACAGCATGTCAGAAACAGAGCGGGATAAGCGCTTAAGAGCTCAGAAAAAAAAGGGAGCTCAGAAAGAAAAAGGGAAAGGCATGCCTAAGAAAACAGACCCTTCCAAAGACATTCAGTCTGCGGAAGTGAGAGATAAGGGAAAGGACGCCCTGGGAAAGAGGCGCAAGAAGGGAGAAAAGGTCTCAGAAAGGAAGTCTCTTTATCCGGTAGAGGAACTGGAGGTCTTGGGGCTTGATAGCTCTGAGTCAGAGGAACTAAGTCCCTCCGAGGAAGAGGACTTAGATGAAAAAACAGCCCACTATGAGGCGGAAAGATACCATCCAGATGGGCGGCCGCCGCCACCGAATCGAGAACAGAAGGAGGCAGGGACTAGGAACTGCGCAGCTCCCCCGCCTGCGGTGATTTCCCAGGCAGCACTTCCTGCCGTAGTCCCCTGTGCACCTCTGCCCTACGTGGACGGGTGCTGTTCGGACTCCTTCCTTTCAAAGGAAGATAAAAGAAAGATGTTACGAGCCTTCCTGGTGTTTGAAGCCACAGAGGGAGGTCTCGTCCACGCACCGATAGAATATGCCCCTATTAAAGAACTTGCTGAATCAGTTCAGAAGTATGGGTTTGATGCTAATTTCACAGTCATGCAGCTCGAGAGATTTGCCGCTCTGGCAATGACTCCAAGTGATTGGCAAAATACAATAAAAGCTGCCCTCCCTAATATGGGACAATATATGGAGTGGAAAGCCTTGTGGCATGATGCTTCTCAGACACAGACAAAAGTCAACGCTAACGTGGAAGGCAATCAGCGGCAATGGACATTTGACCTGCTAACAGGGCAGGGACAGTTTGTTAATGATCAGACAAACTACGATTGGGGAGCATACAGCCAGATCTCTGCTGCCGCTATTAAGGCATGGAAAGCCCTCTCAAAGAAGGGGGAGGCTGGGGGAAATTTAATGAAAATATTGCAAAACTCCCAAGAGCCATTCTCAGACTTTGAGGCTAGAATGACAGAAGCAGCAGTCAGAATTTTTGGAGACCCGGAGCGAGTTAAACCACTGATAGAACAACTGGTGTATGAAAATGCTTCACCAGAATGCAAGGCAGTAATTACCCCTAGAAGAAGCAAAGGGTTGACAGATTGGATAAAGGTCTGCCGAGGACTTGGAGGTCCACTGACCAATGCTGGCCTCAAAGCAGCTATTTTGCAAAGCCAAAACCACTCAAGTCCTGGCGACCGTAAAGTATGCTATAACTGTGGCAAACCGGGTCATTTGAAATGAGAGTGTCGTGTTTCCATGCAAAAAAGAACCCTAGGGCTTTGTACCAAATGCAGGAAAGGTTATCACTGGGCTAATGAGTGTCGCTCAGTCAGAGATATTCAAAGAAAGCTTATTCAACATGATTCCCCACCATCGGGAAGAGATGAAGGTACTCCAAAAAATGGGTTTTCGGGCCCCAGATCCCAGGGCCCCAAAAAATATGGGACACAAACCTGCAGCTGGGGGACACCTCTAGCTGCAGAACTACAAGGGGCTCCGCAGGATTGGACCTCCGTTCCACCTCCCAATTCTTACTAATGCCACATGTGGGTGCGCAGCTTGTCTCAGTTGATTTCAAAGGTCCCCTGCCTGAGGGTAGTGTTGGCCTTATTCTAGGTCGTTCCTCCCTGACATTGAAAGGGCTCGTGGTTCACCCTGGAGTGATAGACCAAGATTATACAGGGGAACTTCAAGTTCTCTGTTCTTGTCCACAAGGCATATTTTCTATTTCCCCTGGGAATAGGATTGCTCAATTGGCTATTCTCCCAAGTTTGCATGATTGTTTCCCATCAACCGGGGTGCCTAGAGGCACCAATGGGCTTGGTTCTTCAGGGACTGACTTCGCTCACCTGGTAGTCGATCTTAAAACTAGACCCACTTTACAATTAATGATAGAGGGGAAGAATTTTGTAGGAATTTTAGACACAGGAGCTGATAAAAGTATTATTTCTTCCAACTGGTGGCCTAAGGCATGGCCTGTTACACAATCATCCCACTCCTTACAGGGGTTGGGATATGAGGCCAGCCCTGCAGTCAGTTCACGCTCCTTGACTTGGCAGACACCAGAGGGTCAGACAGGAAGCTTTATACCTTATGTGCTTCCTCTCCCTGTTAACCTCTGGGGAAGAGACATTTTGCAAGACTTGGGACTTACATTGACTAATGAGTATTCACAACAAGCCATAGAAATTATGAAAAGGATGGGATATAAGGAAGGAAAAGGCCTTGGCAGAAAAGAACAAGGAAGATTAAA